GCATTTCTATTTAAATAAGATCGGTTAGGCTCCTTTTTAAGTGGTCATTGACCTACCTTAAGCAATAGTAATACGTTAACTGTTTACCGCGGTTTAGGTAATAGGCCGGTTAGGGCCTCTGCCATTGCACCCTGCCCGGCGGCATGGCATCCGGGCCATGCCAGTAGCCCTCAAGACCTTCTATAGGTCGACAATACATGTTCCACCAGAGTATTGTGTCCTGTTTTGACTTAAAGGAGTTTCAGGGCCTCACTACTCCCTGTTGACGGTTTGCATCTTTATATAAGCTGATAGCCAACTTCTTGTAAATCCGAGGGCGCCTTATCCACTAGTAGCCACTTTTATGCGACGAGTCATCGCTTTCCGGTGTTAGAAAAGGCACTCGCTTTGTCATGCTTAGTTGCTTATTCATTTTCCTGGTATTAAAAGCATCCCAGCTGACAGACTTGTCGTTAGAGGACACTTTTGTATCTCCTTGAGATTAATAATCGGAAGTCAACGTGTTACTCAACCATCGCGTCCGTTTGTTCCTCTCCCTACAAATGATGCTTTATTTACACTTTGGAGAAATGACTAATATCAGCCTATGTTCAATGATTCTCTAATTGACAAAAATGGTGAATTTTAAAAATTTCCTTCCACTTCTAATATGTCACATTCACGACAGCTGCGAATATGATGTGGTGTTTCTTTGATTGATTTGAAATGTGATTCGCCAATCAAATTATCAATCACTATAAATAAATGAACAAAAGTAGTTGAAAAAAGTACAAAGTTATAGAATGAGATAAACTGTCTTAATGTTAAGGGGTCTTCCTGTCAATCGTAGAGTCGGTCTGGTCTACAATGAGGCATTATATCTATTGCCTTGTCGCAATCTCTTAAGCCCACCCTTGAGTCGAGTCGTCTAAAGATTCCTTCCCTCATAGCAACTAACAGAAGCGCCATGAATTGTGAATCCTTTTAAAAACCACATATGCTTTGCGATTGGTTTTATGAAATTCTTCGGGTTTTACAAAACCACTTAGCACAAATCGTTTTGCTCTTTTTCCTAACAGAGATATATAATGGCAATTGGAATATTTGGTTCCCTGTTGTATTTCTTAGGGGAAAGCAATGATTTTGAATTAAAAGCCTAAGGAGGATGGTCTTATGGTAAGAGAGAGAGAGAGGGGGCGCAGTCATGCATTTTTCGACAGGATTATGGACCAGTGGACATCAGTAAGCGCCTCTTGGGAAAAAAAGGCTGATCAGGACAAACCTAAGGTCCGCCCTCACATAAGGTTAAATGGTGTTTGAATCCACTCCCGAAAAGTTCACTAACCTGTTGCATTCAACTGTTCCAAGTCCCTAATACATGAGGTGGGGTTGAGAATGACATTGTTAATTGGGTAACTGAAAATGGCCTACAGAACCATCTGAAGTACAGGTAGTGACATTTAATGAAGTTTACAAAAAAATTATTATTCATTTTTCACTGCAGATGTGGCAGGGAAAGCATCACACCCTCTGAGTGTCGTAAAATGTGGCCTTTCTGTGCTAATGTGACGGAGATTGGATGCTGCCTTTGAAGATTCGATGAACTTTGTGCAACCTATTGTGATGATAATTGTTAAAGCAATCTTTTCTATCAACGGTGCAAAAGTAAAGCAATCCCAAGGGAATTTTAAATATCAAAGTTTGTAAGCAGATAAAGTAAAAATACCAGTTATGGATTCATGCTAATGTGACCCTCACAGATACAATTTGTTGCCTCAAAATACAGGTATTTTGATACTTCATTGGAGCTGATGACTGTATATTTCCTTTTATGTAGATTGCTTGACCAAGTAAGTGGAAAAAGTTAATCACTTTATTCCAGTTCTTACTAGACCGCCCGATCATGCGTCCGTTTGGAGAGGCACGGTTGTTTTGCCCACAGCTTGACACAATTACACGGCATGAATTGAAATGAAACATTCTTGGCAATCGCAAAAGCCAGTTATCTTGATTATCACCTCTTTTCGTACCTATAACTGCAATGATGTGTCCGACTTAGTTTGGATTAAGGTGACACATCACAAGCCTGTAAAACGATAAATTTGATTGTACTTACGGGTGTGCTTCAACGGACAGACTCCTAAGTATGCATTTGTCTTTGGATGTTAAATTCAACAGTGCAGTGAATAAATCCTGCGGTCAGCTTGATGACATTGTACGAATTAATGATGTTGCCAGCGTTGCTCCGTGTTTTACCTAGCCTCCCATTTAGTTGCGGGTACACAGCGTGTCCGTTTTTGGTTTTGGGGTCCCATTCATGCATCATACTGCTGTGGAGGAGCACTCTACAAACAATTCTTTGTCTAGATCTGCGGAAATAAAAACCAAACCATTTATATTAAGACCTTTTGCGTATGCCGACGGGATTGCCACTTACCAGAATGTTATTCGTGATCAGTGGTGTAGTAGACAAAGGCGCGCAGCTGATCTGGACCGTAACTGCCCCGACTTTCTCCTGATAAATTGTCTGAGTGGAGCTTTGGGAAAGTGTTAAACTTCCACACCACGAGGAATGCATGCTGTCACAATTGGTTTGCGGACTGAGTCGTACCCATCCACACCAGCGTATTTTTCACATCACAGGCGGTCAAGCACTTGACAGAACTTCCTTCCCTCGGTCAGCAATTTCCTCCGAAGCATTGTCACGCAATTCCACTGCATTTGAATTCTGCATCAAACCTGCGCTCAGGGTTTAGAACTTATCTGACGTTGTTAAATCAACATCACAAAGGGGAATGCTATCCTAATTATGAAATGCATAAGTTGGGAATTCTGAAAAACATGGTTTTCATTAGCGTTTTGGGCAAGAAATTAAAATTGGTCCTGCTGAAAAATACGCATAGTAAAATATTTTCTTCCACAAGACTATGGATTACATTGCGGTCATTCGACTCACCAACTAAACAATACGCTAAAAAAGGAAAATTAAATCCAGATGCCAAAGTGCAGCAAAATTTTTCTTCCATAGATGGTCTTTTTATTGATAAAACTTTTATTCTTCCTCAAATCGGAGATTGTGTTAGAAGTTAATTGCTCATAGAACCTAAGTTTAGTTATCCACTTCCCCTGCGTTCTTGGGGTTGTATCATCAAACTAATATGAAACCCCTCCTCAGGTGTTTACACCTCTGGAGCCGACCGAAATTTGCGCACTTTAGAAAAGGCTTTCAATAGATAACATATCCAAAGGTGGTTTAAAGAAGTCGTCTTCGTGAGGAATTCCCATTCCAACATACTACTTACAATTCCCTGGATCTTGTCTTTAAGTTACTTCTATCGACGTCCCTGGCGAAATACAGATGGACTGCAAGAGGACGCGCTAAAGAAGAGTCCCTAAGCCCTGTGCCTGCTATACCCACGAAGTGGCTCATTTTTCACCATTCGATGGTTGATTTTGTGAGACCAAAACAGACCAATGGAAAGAATGTCCATTGCGCCTCTGTGCTGCGTAGTGATTTTAAACTCTACTGCACGCACACCCACACGTCCCACTAATGCTGAGCCTGTTTGTAACCAGTGTGTCCGCTATGCCCATAAATATGGGTTAAATGGATTCTATAGTTAATTACTAGACTGACTTTACAACGCTATAGCAAGTCTACCTACAAAGTGGGAGAGTGCGCGACTCACATCAAAAGTAATTTGAGCATCAAAGCCATTGTTACAATTATTTTCATACACCCTTCCACCTTTCTTCAAAAATAAAGGCCCATGATCTCCTCAACTACCTCCACTGTGAAGATCTTGCATTACATATTAACTCAAATATCGCCATGTCTAAAATGCGAAAACCATACAGTAACCTAGGCGAGCTTGATCCTAAACCATTGAGTTATTCATTTCCCTACCAATTACCATGTTCAACGCAAGATAAGTAGAAATTTCAAAAAACCTTCCAGAGTTCCCCCGTAGTGAGTGAACTACGGGTTACAATACTGTTAATACTCAGATTATTAATATTATAGCAATAGATTGATTTTAATTTGACGTGAAGGCATGGCCCTAGAAACGACTTTCCCGTCAAACAGACAGATGAGAGATGATTACCATCCCACTCATTCCAAGGCTCCAATACTGGGGGCACAAAGGTAGGTAATCTGTTAATGGTGAGCCCGGAACAGTGCGCCCTCCCTTGAAAGAATTTCACAAGTCGGGTGCTACCCAGCACAGTCGTCGTTTTCGTGGGTAATAATGCATTTGACGCACGAACGAGAGCGACTGAACCATCCGGTGCAGTACCGACTAAGCAACAAAACAAACATTTAGAAAATTAGGGTTAAGGCCTTTGCGAAAGCGAAACGCTAAGTTTACAAGAACTTTGCTCCAAGTTGAAGTTCTGGAAGAAAATTTAACTTTACCAATAGATGCTTTCCCGCTGCTAGCATGGAGCAGTAGTAGACACCTTCTGAATATGATATAGGATTCCACGTTCTCGTCTTAGGACATTGCTGCTACCAGATACGCACCTAGGAATAAAGTTGTGCGCTTTAAAGCCATCGTTTTTTTCATCCTGTATCAACTGTGGAGAAACATCACAAAATGATATTTCCTCTGATATTAACAGTCCCAACTGCACAAGTGTTGGTATTTAGAAGGCGTTTCAAGCATGAACATTCTACCCAGTCATAATGTTTTCGTACAAAGAGAAACCACAAATATCAATAACAATAGTTTATCAAATCAAAAGCTGTAGACCTGGGATGGATGTTAAAATGAACAGAAAAGAGCAAAAAATGAGCATCTTCCAGGAATTATATACAAAATTAAAAATCCCACATATCTTCAGAAAAGACAGCTTGCAATAACAATGTGTACACAAATATACATTTCTGGGCAAGTAAGAAAGATCACTTTAAATTTACAATGGAGAGTATTGGAATACTTCACGGGGAACAGGTAGGCCTAGCAAGAGAGCAGAAGAGAGCCAAACAAACAAGCAGGTAGAAAGTGGCGATAAAGGGGTTAGGTTTTCGGAGGCGCCTGTCGATTGCCGCCCCCACAAAAGGGACCGCCACCACCGCTGCTGCCGGCACTAACACCGCCACCCCGCCCAACACCAACTCCGCTGCCCCCGCCACCAATGCGATAAAGAGGGGCGCCGCCCCTTGGGGGACCCCAGCCACCACTGACACCAACACCACTCCCTGGACCGGGTGGTGGTTGAGGGGGTCCACCTGGCCCACCTCCCCATGGAGGGAGTGGAAGTCGACCCGCACCACCTCCGCCCACCGCACCTCGAGGTATCTGAAGGTCAGAGTAAATGGTAAACACTCCTACGAGTTGGGGCTACAGCATTCTCGGAATGATACAAGGTGTGGAGAGCATAAACGAAAGCAAAAATACACAGAAAGCAAGCGTTGCAAGTCTGCAAGAGAGGCTTTCAGACGAGAGCAAATTTTATTTGTAATTAAGATTCTCACCAGTCGACGCATTCCCTAGATCGTGAGGGGTAGTAAAATCATGTTGAATTTGGATTACATTGTTTCTTTTTACGATCTAGCATTTGACCACTGGAAAATCGAGTGCCAGTTAGAGCGAGCGCCATCAAGTGGTGTGGCGCTTGCAATAGTGGTAGGGGTAGGCATTAAAAACACGAGAGGTTATGGGCAAAAACAGCATACCATTGGAGAGCCGTAGGGTCTACTGCTCCAGCTACCGCGGAGGTAATTGAACCTTGGGCTGCAAAGGAAAACAAATAGGCTGCGCGTTACTTGTTTCCTTCGCAATGCGAAAGTGCAGAATATGGTGCCCGTTGGCGCAGCGCCCAGCCACAATATGCCCATATTGACATGAATTAACGCGTAAATAAAAAAACGCATGTATCAATTTTAGTCACTCGAGTAATTCACCATTCTACTGCAGTAACATTCCCGCTACAGCTATTCCTCGCTTTTGCAAAAACATACTTTAATGCCGCTTTGTGAAACGTCAATGACCTCGCAGCGAAACTATGAGGTGACGATGTCAATCAATGTAGGGCTGCTACGCTGATGAACGATAGCAGTGTCAAGTGGAGGTGGGCTAATAGTCTGTCCCAAATAAATTTTAATATTAACAGTGACCCGAAAGAATAGATAAGTAACACATATTTAATTAAAAACGGTTTAGAGAAAAAAAGAGACACAAGCGGCGACAGCTAACTCAGATGTTTGATTAAAAATAGAAATGTAATGTGGCAATCGAACGCCTACTGCCCAAAACTGACCAATTCTTTGAGAAAAAGCCTCAAGGCGACAACTGCTTAGCTGAGTGTTTTTGCCGTGCTTGTTAACTCAACCGTTAGTGTTGGTAGCTATTACAGCCGAGCAAAATGGGTGAAATTATTGTCATCAACTCAATCCGCATAAATAATTACCCTGCAGCATCATGCAAGTAGTGGCTTTCGCAGCATTGGTGAACATCAACCGACAGCGGCAAAGTTGATAATCCTCCTCCCCGGATTAAAGAAAAAAAAACACTCAGCTAAATTTCAAATACCAAAGGGACGCGAAATAAATTTCACGCGCAAAGCCATAAAAGAGTGAATTAATAGTGAAACTAACCACAAGAGATAGTAACAAGCCCCCAGAGATACTATTTTGACCGACTAAAAGGCTAGGGATTCCGCAGTGCAGACAGTTATTCGTGGCAGTTGAATAACATGCAGATTAAATGATGACTCGGTTTGAAGACCAGAAACACGGATCTGCAACCTGGGCTGTAACACGTTGCTTCAATCTATACAGGGTATTTCAAGCTTCAAAATGATCCGCAAAAGGGCGCGATAGTCATTAAAGACCACATAATTTTGAAAAACTAGACAAACAGAAACGATATCATTCTGGCACATAAGACATGCAATTAAAAAATCAAAACGTAATTTCATCAACCTCAAATGACCACACCGTGTCGCAAGTGCTTCAAATCGGGGTAAAAATAAACTCCCTTTGGAGGACAAGCACAAGCAAAACTTCTAGGACTTGAAAAGGTCCCAAACAGTAAGTCCTTTTCGCAGTCTTACCTTAAGTTAAGAATCAAACAGAAATCAAGAGAGCAACCGTGTGATCGAAAGAAAACAACCCAGTCCATCTCCTTAACTTCCCCTAAACACAAATAATAGGATGAGGTAAACAAATGACAACCGTAAATAGAAGACAGAAATGCCGAAAAACACCCTTCACTCTGCTCTCAGTTGACTGCTATCAACAAAAATTGAAGTCGTTGAGCATTTAAGCCTAGGCCCCATGCAAAGCGATGACAGTAACTTGTAATGGACTGTATCCACTAAAAATTGGCTGCCAGGGATCCATAAAACCATGCTTGTAGTCGATGCGAAAGGTCATGGAAATAATTATACACATTTCTCTAGAGAATCAACATCTACCTGCCTTGATTACTACCATACCACCTGACTCATCGCCACTTCAATAATTTGGAAAGAAAAATATCTCATGGATGGCTTAGGTTATCCATTACCCGAAATAATAAATGACCACCTGTAACTCAATCGAGACTTAGTATTTGCTTCGGAAAAAAAATTCTGCGCAATAGTACTGAGAGCCGTAACTTCACGAAATCACCTTTATAATCTATTTAAATAGTTTCAGTGTACATATTATATCCCGCTCCCGCGAGTTATGAAATTTCTACTCCGTTACATTGTCCAATCCGAACATTTCAAACCAGAAAATAATCCAACTGCTCAAACCAAGGACGTTAAGAACACAATGTGAAGCGAATTACTCACCCTACTACTCCCCTTACCATACCACCCCGTAAAGTGCTGGATATCAGTCGACTGGAGGAGGGTGGTTTGTTGAAGAAGGGGGAAGAAGAGGAGGCAACAGCTGTAGCGGAATTGGCAACTGTCCCGGTGGGTAAGGCAGGGGTGTGACCACTCGGAGGCGGCTCCTGCGAGACCGGGATGATCTTGCTGGACGCAATAAAGGCTTTGGAGCTCATAGACTCCGTTGGAGAGTCGGGCGTATCCGTCGGTGCTTTGATGAGCTGAGCAGAGTGAACGAATAGGGAGGGACACACTAAAACACTTCTAATCTCTCCGAATTCAAGATATCTCCGCTGCTTTTCTCATGCTGTTTTTTTCGTGAGGGCATCATCATGATAAAAAGAACACACAGGAGGGAAAATTGGAGATTTTTTGTGTTTGGTGCTAGCATAGCCGATGAACCAATAAATCCTGTTTCGTTAGCACGGCTAACTTCGCGTCAGCCTGCAGCTACCAAGACTGATTTTGTGCCTACAACAAGTTTCAACAAGGCAAAGGCACTTAACGCATCTATACCGTCTTCTATAATTTAATAATATAGGTTTTTATTTAAGAAAAGCAGGCTTCGAGTTAAGGGAAGCTTTTCTGGACACAACGGAGAGCATGCGCCTCAACATCCTGCAAACAACGGCAAAGTGGAAAAAGCGGCAAAAGTCAGCATTCCGTGCATACTGCAAAGACATATGACAAAGTTGTTTGAATTCTTCCATCAGTTACATGGCTTTACAAAACGCAACGACAAATGTAACATTTCAACTATCAATTTGGGTACATTCAAGTAAAGAGGAAGGAATTTATTCCATTGCTAAAGATATCATGCTGCATTCAGTACAGTCTATTCATTCTCGCCATAAGAAAATTTGCTAATAACATTGGCAATGCCCTTGACTTTATTAAAAAAGTCAGTTCAGGATGGTGCGAGCAACACTTTCCCATTTTAAGTGATGCTGTCAAATATCACAACATAATTTTCTGTTGTTAAACGCACCGCACCCAAAGTTACAGCCCCTGGTTAGGTGTCGTTTTATCAAAAAAGCTGCATTCCAGCCAATAAGCTTTTGCTTCATGCGATCTGTGCAGATTTACTCTTTTCAAAGGCAAGTAATGAACATTATGATTGCTAAGTCAATTAATCTAATATGAGGCTTGCTACTAATAGTGCAAACGTACCAAGTTCGTTCATTCTAAATTTCCTTCGTTATTCACAACAGCTCCACCTACAGATCGACTATTACATTTCCAAGACAGAGAGTACTCTAGTCAGGAAATGTTAGCAACAGAAATTGTAGGAAAGGATCGTTTTTTAAATTTATAATGGGAGCCTCCATAGTTGACCTTCACTGTTATACCACTACATAACCCATTTACGTCTAAAACCCTCACCATATAGGAGATATACACGACAATTTTATTGATGGGATATTGGATAAGGTTTGAAGAAAACGATTAAAATCACTAAAAAATGGACTTCCTATTTCGCCCTCTTATAAATATCAAATACCCATTGTCGAGTACAAATTACAGGGTAAAACATCGTTTTCCTACCGAAGCTACCTGCCTGGCTGTGCAGTTGTGTTAACGATGAGAGGATGAAGACTCACCCCTCCTGCAGCCGTGGCCTCCTCGTTCAAACTGGCTGGTGGTGTTTGCGAGTCGGATTGCCCATCCTGCCCAAAGAGAGCAGCGCTCACGTCCCCGCTCTCCTCCCGCTCCGCCTCAACCCCACGCATTGCGGACACTGTCGCACCGGCCCCCGTCACGGTCACCACCTCGTCTTCGGGTGGTCGGCTGTTGAGTTTGACATCATTCAGGTCGCACACGCCAGGGCCCAGCGTTGGCGTTACTTTAAACCGCTTCGCTGGCAGTGGTGCTAACGACGATGTCCCTCCCTTTGTCGGAGTCGGTGCACTGCTAGCCGATAAAATTCATCAAGATTAGCACTCTTCATTCAATTAAAATGACTTATGTATGCATGTGTTCACCATTGTGAGCTATGGGTATGCGTAATCACTGACCCTCCCACACCGCTATACGAAGGTTACATCTAGCGAGCAAACTTAACCCTACTCCATCCACGAGGAATCCGACAGTTTTGTAGTTGATTACCTGACACTAAACCAAATCAGATGATCGCCGAGTAAAAAAAATGAGAAGTTTAGCGCGGAGGCATGAGCCCTACGCACATAATTCAAACCATGGTCAGTAACGATGAGACCATGATCTAACGAGCTAAATATCAATGAGAAGCTTTTACAATACTTCGATTCAAAGAGTAGAATCCTAGGATTTATTGCGTCCTCTTATTTGGGAAAAAACAAGTAATTCAGATAAGCGGGTAACACAACATCAGAGTGATAAAAGAGAAAAAGAAATATCCTGGATAGAAACACTCGACACTTCATCCGCATTCATAATTCCCGTTAAAAAGAATTCGCTCCAAATAAATGCGTTTAATGTACCAGAACCACAAGTTGTAGGGACTCATTTAAACATGAAAAAGCCTTAAAAGTAAATTTCTTAATGCTTTTTACTGAATAAAAGATGCGCCTCTAAATTCTACCGAAATTAGAAAACCCAACAACTAATGTGAGAGTTGACAACCGCCTAAACGCATCAAAATTTCAGGTAAGTTCGGTTTTATTGATGGATTTGATATGCCTTATCGGTACTACAAATCACGAATAACTAAGAGAAACGAGGATAACACTCAAGAGAGAAGCCTCAGTGCTAATTGACATTTGAATCATACATAAAACACCAACTGCCCACATTGTTGCCAAACCTAATGGGTGACGCTAAGTGTGCCACTCCTGTTAATTAACTGTCATGAAAAAGACGCTTTCAAATCCACATCTAAATGATAGAGAATAAGTGGAAAAGACAATTACCTGCTAAATTTCTCAAAAAGGTTATCATTTGAGTCAGCAGGAAGAGTGTCCTCAGCAATGTTGGCCGCGTCCCCGGGACCCTCGGTACTGCCACGCGCCAATTCGACGACAGTGGCCGAAGACGTCTGCTGCTGATGCGACTGTGGCGCCGTACTCGACTCAACCACTGCTCGTTTCAGGTTCTCCACGATAAATAGCAACGAACGCTGCTGCGACTTTGTTGTGGTGGAGATGGTGCTCGATGTCGCCGGTGCTGGTGGCGGAGGCGGGGGTAGCGAAGTTGATACCGCCGTTGCCGTGGATGTTATTTCGGCTCGCATTACTGCTTCTTCCTGATTGGTCGACTGTGATGAAACCGATGGTGCGTTGTTGGACGGTGGGGAGGGCAGCTTGCGCACTTTTGGAATCTTGTAGCCCTTGATCAGACGATTCGTGCCATTGCCACCACTGCTACTGACAACACCACTTACTCCGCTGCTCGGAGCCAATGCTCCCGATTCAATTGGAGGCTCATCCGAGGAAATGAGACGATTCCGTTTCGGTTCAGAACTAGCGGAAAAAGTCTTCTTTCGACCCGGTTTGCCCTTAACAAGTCCGTGTTTCTTAGGGGATGGAGTCGGTGTTGCCATTGGTGCAGACGGGAACACCTTCGGTGATGAAATGGACAGTACCAGAGATGGCTGCACCTCCTTACCCTTCGAGGAAACACGTCGTTTACGCTCCTTTTTAGGATGTTGTGAGGATGTGGAGGGTTGTTGTTGCTGTTGCATTTGTTTGAAGAGAGCAAACGGCTTGCCCTCCACTGCCTTCGTCCGCGGTTTAGTCACCACGGCAGTGTTTTCCATTGGAGTGGTGGCAGAAGCAGAAGAAGCAGCAGTTAAGCCACCGCCAGATCCACCCCGGTTGGTTTTGATAACAAACTTGAGACCCGATTTCCGTTCAGCCGTACGTTCTGGTGCGGAAACGTCAGTGAAGGCGAAAGGCTTGGAAGGTGGGGGAGGCGGTAGAGGAGGTGGAGCAATATTTGTGGAGGAGGGACAGTCCTCAAAATCATATACGGACTCTTTTGCGAGCACTGCCGGCTTAGAGGGGGTTGGCTTTGTTGGCTGTTTCATCGCATCGATGATGGCTGCACGGGTGGGAAGGGTGGAGATGAAACTGCCCATGGCGGGATCAACGCGTCGCTTTCGGCCCTTTTTGGACACACCTGTCTCCGAATTGGTTGCCGATTTGAGGGCAGGGGGGAGCGATTGCGTGCTGCTGTTGGCGCTGCTGTTCAAACTAATGGAAGTGCTGCTGCTGCCACCGACGCCAACGTTGCCAGTGCTGGTGAGGAGGTGGCTGAGAACGTCGGAACTGCCCGAAGACTTGGGATAAGTCGACATGAGAGTGAGAGATGTGGAATGATTGCTGTTGGGCACCTGAGCAGTGATAGGGGAGGGCGGAAGAGGCGTGGCAGCAGTCACTGGAGAGGAAAGAATTCGGTTTGGAGGCAATACCGAAGGGCCCACGTGAGACAGTTGGGGGAGGCTTTGGGGTGGATTATCCTCATCTAGCAGACTCACAAGCATGGAGCCACTGCCTGTGAGAAGGCAATTTTAAGGAGGGATTTGAGTTTTTATAAGAATACGCAATTGGATAACTTGGTTGAGTAAAAATTACATGAGGCGGGGGTTTGGGGCTTGAATCCAAGACTTGAAGGAGTGGAGGCAGCGGGGTAGGATATGGGTAGCTTCATTGGCTGGCCAAAAAGGGTGGTGGCTGATGTGGTCATAACCCCGGGAATAATCGGCATCGATCGGAAAGTTTGATTGTCTGTAAGTGAAAATAGACATGGATTGCAACAGAAAAAAGTTGTGCTGACAGGATTTTGAGAAGTGAAAGATTCAACAAACTTGAGGGGAGGGCAGGAGAAGAGAATGTGTCATCAAGCCCTTTCGGTGCGGGAACGGAGTGTTGGTCTGACACCAGACCGGCAGGAGGAGTGGTTGCCATAACACCAGGTGGAAGCATCGGTCGAGAGGGGAATTGCTGTGGTGAAGGCAGTGGTGGCAGGGATTGAGATGGTTGCAGAACAGGCCAAGAAGGCGTAGTCCCTGCAGTGGGATCGTAGAGGATTCCAGCGCCACCTTCAGCTCCACCACTGAGAAAAAGACGCTCGGCATCCTGCAGAGATTTCTCGGACAACTTGTCCGCGCCGGCCAGTAGGCCGTCCGCCGATGCGTCGTCGCTGAGGTGCAAAGCATTGCGGGCGCGAGCCAAATAGACCGCTGGTCGTCGCTGACCGACTGGTTTGATAGTTTTGCAGGTGCCGCTGCTAGTCACCGACTTGTTCGGAAACGTGGATGTCAACATCTTGACCACAGGACAGCCCAATTGGAGAAGAAGCCAGGTGAGGGCGACTGGCAGACTGTGCGAGCGTGTAAGAATTCCAGTGGGGTTGTATTTGTCCTCGTTGCCGTTCTCTTTTGCCTTGTTCTGCTCTGAATCGAGGCGGAATTCCTCAGGTAAGACTGCACCCAGTACACGTGCCTCAGAGACACCGAGATCGCCCATATGAATAGACACTAAATTGAGACGCTCGATTGAAAAGATTCTGAGGTGGTAGGTGATAAAATTGACTAGGCGAGCGAATCATGGTATTACCTTTTACCTGTCTCCGATTGCAAAGTGGGTGCTGGAAGTTGATGAGAATACTGGTCTGGGAAGGTATGTTGACGCAAAACCTGTAGGTCAGGTCCTCATCTGAAAGTGTGGGATATTCACAATACATTATTTACTATTTAAATTTTTATAAGTAGAAAAAAGAAAAACAGCGAAAACAAGGACGTACGCATACCTTTGACAGCGGGTTTTCTAGGATGAAGTAGAAAGGACTCCACAAATGACAGCCAAGCAGCTTTTCGACGAAGAAGTTGAATCAGTGGGGGTAGCTGACTTGGACACGTGAATGCAATTTCGTTGATAACATAGCCGCGTAAATTATTGGAAACTACGTGATAAGCATGCTGTACCTTGTTGGGGAGGGTCTTAAGAGATTTGAAAAAGCAAGCCTTGAGTGATAATGACATGGTCAAAGCATGCGTTATTTGGAAGACCAAAAGTAGGCTTAAAAAATAAGCGTCAGGAAGAGTGAATGTCCACTCACTCAGTGAGTGGATGCGACAAATCGCAATGATACGTAATCACCTGGTTCTAGGTAGCGTTACGATTCAAGCCGATAAGAAATAAAAGGGTAAGAAAGTACCCATTTTAAAGATTTATTTGAGTAAATTTTGCGGAGTCTGGAATTCTCGTTTTATCTGAGGGAATACAAAAAGTTAATAAATTACCATGTGCACGTCGATAAATGAAAGACCTTCTTGATTATGTTGACGTAGCAGAAGATAGTGAAGAGGCAGTGGTTCGCTTTGTTTCAAATAATCCATTGGAATTTCTGTTAATTTATTGTCAAACAAGAAGTAAGCAGATCAGAGAGCGCCAATTATGGGTTTTTAAATCCCATTACTAAGAAAACCAGCTTACGTGTTATTGCCTCAATCTCCGAAATGGATTCAACGTCAAATAAAAGGGGTGGATGAAGCCTGAGGAAGAATTCAGCAGCAATTTTCACGCGAGTAATATTGTCCGCGTTTGTAAACTGCGCAACACTAAAAAAAGAATAATCTTTGACATCATTTTAACGACTTAAGTGGGTGAATTTCTCTAACTCCTCAAGTGACGTGACATTACAGGCGGGAAGAAAATATCACCGTAATTTCTAGATATAAACGCATTAATTATTGAACTACTTTAATCCTTAACAAAAACACTCATGTAAGTTTGTATTTACTAGTAAAGTGATACACTAGATATGCTACCAATTCACATTATCTAGAACTCACCCCTACCTTAAAATCCTTGTCTCTCATAGATAACTCATGTGACACCACAAAATGTTTAAGAAGATATTAATAAAGTGAAGATCAATGCATCTAACGTACTTATATCCATCAGCATCTTTTATTATGTTCACCAAGGAGACGAGGGGTAGGGAGTGCTGACTCGCGTTGGCAGTGGCACGTAGACCAACAGAGGCACAGAAGCCGCCAAGCATTCCAGCTTCCGGATCCACTTGAGCAGAATGTTTTGAAGTGTGTGACACCGCGATGGCCTTCTGTGCGGCCGAGACGAAGTATGTGAGGACGGTGAAGGCGCCACCAGTACGCTGGACCACTTGACCCACCGCCGAGCCATTTATGGACTGTGCTAAACAGTTCACGTCACTTGGGGAGTTGGTGAGCTTGCAGGGGAGGCTAGGGAGTTCAAGATTCAGCGGAGCAGCAGCATTGGGTATTCGATTGCTCACCGCGGTCGTAAGCATCAATAAATCCTGCTCTAAAGCCTGGAGACATAGATATGCTCGGCATCGTTGAGCTCTAAGGAGAGGCATTAGGTACAAAGCCAAACCTTACATTTCACCAGGAAGATCGTAGAGTGCGATTAAATTTTTCACATGTTTTAAAAGTGAGTTATAGTTGCGCTTCTTTAGATCTTCAACTAGCACAGTGCATTCCTATTGCGAGAGAGGTTATAGAAGAAAAGGTGTAGGTACTATTGGTTTGTCCTGATTGAACTCAAAATGGACAGCAGCGACGCTAACGGGGTAATCTTCGGGAGGAGTGGTTCCGGGTGGGAGACTGTAGCCGTCAGCTGGGATAGCTGATATGACAACGGAGAAGCAGTCTGCGGAGAGACGCCAAGCGATACCGCCGGAGGATGAAAGCCCCGGAGGGAGGATGGGACCCGTGTCACCCAACTGTAGATCACATTGCAAGGCGATCCGGTAGAGCTGGTTTCGAAGCGTAGCGAAGCGAACGTGCTGTTGACATGGTTCAGGTGAGGCAAGTGCTCTTATTCGGGATATGGTTTCAATGCAGTTCTCGATAGCCAGTCTCTGTGCCACAAGGTATTCAGAATGATGCTAAGAGTGGAATGCAAATAATGGCATAGATTTAAAGTACCGAACCAAAAAACTATTTTGAAATTAAATCTGTCGGAAGAGAAAACTGGATGATATGAAAGCCTCCGAGATAGTCTACAGCTAAGATGGTGAAACTAACACTTCATGAAGTGAACCAGACATACTACCAAAGATAAGTATCTACTCGTTTCTAGAGCTAAATAATGCATGCTTATCGTCAGAAACAATGTTCGGACCATTGCAACAAATAATGCGTAGATGTCAGGAACAAATTGCTCGGTAGTAAAACTAACTGGGTACCCGATTATGATTAGTACTCTAAACAATAATCAGGAACCCAACAAACACTTTTGGATAAAGGCACACTAAAAAACATTAAGGAGGAGCGTTGAATTTTTCAAGGTACAATTCCTAAACTACAAAGAAAAATGAAAATACCGATGAAAAACTGGTTCAATAGGAAACCCATAAACCCGTTAGAAGTCACCACATCCAACTGTAGGATTTAACAAAAAAAGTCGAATGAATCTCATTCGCTTACTTAACATGTGCTGCAGGTGTGACAGTAGTGCATAAGATCTAAGATTAGGATACCAACCCTAAATTGCAAAATCTGTTGTTAGGGAAGATAGGGTTTTTCATCTAATTTAAGTAACATTCTCTCAAGGTTTTGAAACTCGAAAAAAAGAGTAAAACTCCTCTTGCCATAAACCTTAATAAATTACCGAGTGTGAAGGGTATGACATCATAGGCTACAAAGAACGTAGGCTGCTAACATAGTCCAAATTGTTTTAATGTTTTGTGCAGAGGGATTTGTAGTAGCTAATGAAATTAAAAGTAAAAACTTAAGCGTGTAAAAGATATCTCAGCATAGGCTGCATGCTTATTACTTGTCGACGGGTTTTAATTCAACTAATGATTCTTTGCCAGCACTGTTTCGATGCATCTCAGTTACATTAGTCTAACAAGTATACAAAAAGTAGTAACTTTAGCAAGACTCCTCTATGGCAATTCAAGCTATTTAAAATGCTTAAATTGCAGTTCATATAAATTGACTTTGCTCTTTAACTGGCAATCGCATCGGATAGACGACACACCTTTATTCCTGCACGTGACCCTTCCCTAAACAGCGATGTAGCACTCAAAAAATTTCATAAAAGCAAAAAGCATTACTTTAGACAGAATGCATACATTCAACATACAGAGGGACGGAGGCCAGCTCACCTGATGAAGGTAGATTGACCAAGAGGCAAGGTGGCTCTTTATTAAGGCCAAGAGTATGGCAAATAACTGGGGTAATACAGACGAAGCCAAAGTGATTTTCAAAGGGATTTCTTTGTCCCTATGCTCGAGTTAAAATGTGATCAGAAACCTGATTTGCGGTTTGCTTAGGTGTCCTTTAACTTCAACTGGTGAGGGTAATTATGCACTTAAGCAAAGAAAGAGTTGACAATGACTTATTTTTACCTGCTTTAGGAATAAATTGAAGATAAGAAGGAGATATTGTTGGTTGCGCTTGACAATTACAAGTGCACACACCTGTCTTGCACGATTTTTTACATTTCGCTAACATTTGTTACAATATTTAACTCAAACCCATCCATTTTTTTGCTCAAATGTTTATGTTGGGAACTGTTATTTATGCCACTAAATCTAAAGCCGCTCCCTTTGATTAGTTCCAAATAGGCATATCGGTGGGGTTATGGCTTATCTGGCCAAGTTTGATTCGTCTTCTGCCAGAGTTAAAGGTTATGCAATGTTTCGGAAAATTGACTTTTTTATTTTCGTTCATGTTTTCTTGTGGCTCTTTGTTACCATGCAATTAATCTCCTTAGGCTTAGCTTTTCACCCAAAGAGACCGTGGATTTTGTCGGGCCTTCATACCGGTGTTATTGAGTTGTGGGACTACAGATCCTGCACTCTCATTGATAAGTTTGAAGAACATGAAGGACCTGTGCGTGGCATAGACTTCCACAAGAACCAGCCTTTGTTTGTCTCTGGTGGTGACGACTACAAAATTAAGGTTTGGAATTATAAACAACGCAAATGTTTGTTCACACTTCATGGGCATATGGATTATATTCGAACGACATTCTTCCACCACGTGCGTCTAGGATCATGTGTCATGCCACACTTTCGGAATATGTCTGACGTTAAAGGTTCTTGATTTCTTTCCAGGAGCATCCGTGGATTTTGAGTGCTTCAGACGATCAGACTATACGCATTTGGAATTGGCAATCTCGTTCATTGGCCTGCGTGCTTACAGGTCACTGTCACTATGTGATGTGTGCACAGTTCCACCCGAAAGAGGACCTTGTGGTTTCTGCCTCCCTTGATCAAAGTGTTCGTGTGTGGGATATTTCCGGCTTTCGTAAAAAGAATATTGCACCAGCAGGTTTGAGCGGAATTGAGGTTTGTCCTTCGTACCCTTCCCTTCCATTTACATCTCTTTCTTCATTCTGTCTTGATTAGTTCTTATTGCATGTTTTGGATCATTTGAGTTAAAGCCTTGTTATGCAGAGTCAAATGTTCATAAAATCCCTTATTTGAAATGGTTAGGTTGTGACTACTTTTACCTTTTCATTGGAGGTGTGCACTTCATCATCTGCGTCTCATTTTGATCTGTGCTTTTTTCTGGATAAACCTCATATTTTCATCAAAAGCTGGCGATTCTTTGTGATTGTAATTTGGCCTTACCCGTCCTTACACTTGCTTCCCCAATAAAAGGAAAAACTTGTAAGTTGAAGTGGTTAACAGATAACTAGACTTGTTACTGGCCGTTAAACAACTAGATTTGATAGATAATGATGCATTAAAACTGAGGTAAAGCTGAAGTTTCTGTCTTACACGATCTCTCATTGCGTAAACCTTCCGTCGCCCTGATTTCCCGACTTAAATCTCTACGCCACGCAAATATGAAATATTAGAAGCAAATGAAGTAGACTATAGAGTGAAAATAAAGGCGACTTATGTAACTCTGGAAGAACATGACGTCTGAAATATGGTGGCAGCTTTTTCCTGCTTACCTCGCCACTATTGTAAATTTACTTTTCTGATGTGCAGGAGCAGGTGCGTTACCTCTCCGGTGGTAGCAACTCGGTGAGTCACAGCGGTTTGGGCGGCAATGCCGAATTTTTTGGACCCACCGACGTGGTCGCACGCCACGTCCTAGAGGGCCATGATCGAGGCGTCAATTGGGTCGTCTTCCATCCTACCCTCCCCATCATTGTCTCTGCCTCTGACGATCGCCAGATTCGTCTCTGGCGTATCACCGGTAGTTTTGAGTACTATGGAGTTTTATGAGCCTTTTGGCTTCACACACCTTCCTATTTGTGTCCCCGTTTCGATACGTTTGAGGCCGCCTGGTTATCATTAAATTTTTGTTGGTACAACTCCTTAAAAAAGCGCCAATTAACTGTTATATTAATTAGCATAACCGGCATTGCCAGTATGTGCTCATATTAATATTACTATAATGTATTAATAGACGTAGGATAGTATTTGTCAGTTATGGTACGTTAGAGGTTCAAAAAGGTCTTGGGTTTCGTTTGTGGTAGTAATAACAGACAGAGTAGTACTTAGCTGTACCTAACTGTGCAATGGCACTAGATGTCTGAAAAGCCAATAGCTTTGGCGATGTACTGTTAGTGTTTCAATTCAAGGAGCGCGCCTGATCGCATTTCCACTCCCATGTGTATTCGTTATGGACATATAGTTATCGCAGTCTTCTGTGGATGAATTGAAAGGTGAGGATTTTTGTACCGGTACGACGGATATGGGGCATTCTGGGCGCTCCTCTGTAGCCACTAATTGCAGGAAAAAGACGAAGAATCTTGGAAACTATTCGCAAGAATATTACTGTATCGGCTGAACATATTTGTTACCAGGGTTACAGGGCATAGTCGACCACCACTTTCCAGTTTTATTGTTTCAGTACGGCGCCAACTATTTATTTCCCTTTTATGCTTTTCATTCTAATTTAGTTCTCTTTGATTGGGGGCTCAGGCAATGAAATAGGGAAGATGCACTTGTTTTTAAGTTCGCTTCTCACAATCGCTCCATTGCAGTGACTTACCGCAATAGGTGGTCTCTGGTTATAAGGTTGGTTCCTATCACAGCCGTGTCACAAAGGATTGCTGCGTTTGAGTACCTTCTAAGGTCCCTAAGGATCATATCATGAAATAACCTATGAAAGTGTGGAATTTTTGGTACACTACTTTTTATGTTTTCTGCCTGTTAGTTCTCTATCGGTTTTGAAATTTTGCGCGCGCACAGATTTTCCTAAATTATCAGTACTGCTTGCATGATTTGAGTAATATTCCTTATTTAGAGCCATGAAGACGGAAAACCAGTTCGTATGACCTGGTGCACAGAGCATGTGAAGCTTAAAATTAGGGCCACCTTTCTAACTATTAATTTCACTATTAGATTTCCTTAAAATCAACCCGAAGTTTTGGGTATGGCAGAGACAAAGGCCTGGCTACTGGACACTCTGAGAGGACACACGAACAACGTGAGCTGCGTCGTCTTCCACCCGAAGCAGGACCTGCTGTTGTCGGACTCTGAAGACAAGACAATCCGGATATGGGACCTGGCGAAGCGTGCCTGCGTGGCCACCATTCGGCGCGACTCGGACCGCTTCTGGGTGCTCGCTGCACATCCCACATACAATCTCTTCGCCGCTGGTCACGATGAAGGCATGATTGTTTTCAAACTGGAGCGTGAACGGCCCGCTTGGACCCTGCATAAAGACCTTCTACTCTACGTAAAGGGCAAACAGCTGCGTAAACTCACCTTAGCCAACACCAAGGACTCGCCCGTCATGACTCTCAAGGAGTACGTTTTCTACACTAGAGACCATCTTTCATCAAATTATTACTGTAGAGCTAATCAAGTATTATTCAAGGCGTTCTTTTGTGAAATCGTTTTCTCTGCCCCAATCTTTCTGGTGAATGTTCGTTTGATATGTACCTAAGGACACGTTTGCCTTCATTATCTACTGGTATTTACTCCTGGTTTTCTATTAGTGTAACCTTTGCATGCAGATGGAGTTTAAGTAATTGTTTCATATCCAACTTAGCATACGTGTTCAAGAAACCGGACTTGGATCTTATGGTACTTCTTATTCACTACTTTTAGTCGGCGAGGTCGATTGCTTTTTCAGTTGCAGGGCTTCTGCATTCCCTTTTGACTGTCCATGTGGTCCGTGTTTGTTCGCTGCTCCACCTTATTTTTTTGCCTGACCTATGTTTTTTGTAAGTAAGTTATGAATCATGATTCGGGATGAGTCCTCATTATTAAGACCTAAGTACCATACAGCTCGGGGTGAATTTCACATGATTCCTTTTGTTACTTCAATTAGTGCCATCACATGCCGCATATGCCTGCATGTGGTGGCAACACCGGTGTAACGCCACCATGTATTCGGCAAAAATGGGTAAGTTGGTGGATCTGTTGGTTCCAAAAATTTTCAAGCTCATGTTAACTGCTATTAGGAAACGTTTTGATCATAATTGATTTGTCGTGATTTTTTAGTGATATATCACCCTAACATAGTATTCGTTTTTAATGGTGTTGGTCATAATTGACAAACGTCAGTCATAATGTCTCTACTCATCTGGTACTGCTGTGCCTTTCCCTATCCTTGAATTCTTTTGTCCACCCTTTTAAGTCCCCTAAACCTATTTTCACAAAGACAATTTGTTGCCGGCACGGAAGGTGCATTGAGAAACGAAATTGAGACTATTTCTAGTGCTAGGTGATGTCGAGCATTTTATCCGTACTTTCTCACAGTCAAGCTGTATGCAAACTATACTTATTTTGCTCATACTAATTGGAAGCTTGACCAAAACTTCGTTTGAAACACGGCTTTTTGGCCAGTGATTGAGTTTAAAATCCTTTATAGATGTTTATCTTCACTGCCTTCATGTATCCTGCATTTTTTGTCAACCATTTTAACGACATTTCTTACTTATTGGAAAAGTTCCATTACTTTCCATTAATTTTTAAACTATTGGTTCAAGTGGATCTTGTACCAAAATGTGTAAGTCACACTTGAGAATATATTTCTGCTAGTCTAACTCGCCTACCAGCATGGAAGTATAATTTCTCGATTTCACTCTTTATAGGACGATGTTCCATGCTTTACCGATTGTTCCACAATTCTGTAAATCTGCCCCTGGGGGATACCAACTATTCATTTTTCTCTTATCCCTAAACAATTGTGCAAAGAATGCTTTTTATCGGTAGAACTCACCCTTAGAATATAGTTCAAGCTGCTAACCAATTTTTTCATCTTAATCATTTTTCCTCTTTTCATGCCTTGACATGGCTTCTCAAGCGACGGTCATTGATTCCCGCCTTTTCAGAGGCTTCTTTACTTCATACATAAATATTTCGTATTGATGCAAAGCAGAGATACACGCGCTTTTATTTTTAGCTGATGCAGTTAGTGTCTACTTGAATTTATCCACGTTTAATTTGGTCTGTCTTCGATCTCTTGTGGCTTTTATTGCTTGTATGCACTTTTCACCCATACTGCTAAACAGCATCTTTAGGCCAGGCATTGAATTCATCTGAACCAGTGTTGACGATTTTCAGTTGGAAGTATGATTATTTTTTTTGCAGCCACTCTCGTCTTCAGACTCAATGATCAGTTTTCGCGTCCTCTTCTCCTTTAGTTACGGAACACCGTTTGCTATTGCCTACAACCACATAGAGAACTCTGTAATAATAACATCGCGGCCACAGTTTACGGAGTCGGGCACTGCCAACTACAATATCTCCCAAATTACCTATGACCTCTATCAGCTGCCGAAGGATGGTTCAGCTAGTGATAGTCCGGCGGAGAGTCGCAGCGGCCACGGCTCGGGGGCTGTCTGGATCGGCCGCAACAAATTCGTCGTTCTCGAGGCGCCCGGCACTCTAGCCGTACGCAACTCGGCCAACGAGAAGGTCAAGAAAATCGATCTGCCTGGCGCCGACTTCATCTTCTTCGGTGGCACCGGCAATATTCTGGTGCGCGATGCCTCCTGTCTGAGCCTCTACTCTGTAGCCAATGGGAGAACATTGGCAACTCTCAAAAATACCAAGCTCATTCGCCAAGCCATCTGGTCACCTGATGGCCAGCATGTCGCCTTCTTCAGCAAGATGTTCCTCTACCTATGTGATCGCCAGCTGGAGGTGAAGACCAGCATCCACGAGACTGTTCGTATCAAGAGTGGCGCATGGGCTGAAGAGGCCGGTGTTTTTATCTACACCACATCGACCCACATCAAGTATTGCCTCTTAAACGGTGACCACGGCATCATACGTACTCTTGACTTGGTCATCTACATCACCAAAGTGCATGGCGATTCTATATTCTGTCTGGATCGCGATTGTCAACCTAAAATCCTCTCTGTCGATCCCACCGAGTACCGATTTAAACTTGCGCTCATCAATCGTCGCTACGAGGAAGTGCTCTACATGGTAAACCACGCAAACCTCGTCGGGCAAGCGATAATAGGCTACCTGGAGCAGAAGGGTTACCCCGAAGTAGCCCTCCACTTTGTTAAGGACACCAGAACCCGATTCTCTCTCGCAATGGATTGCGGACAATTGGACGTCGGTCTGGAGGCCGCTCGTGTCCTCGACGATAAGGCCTGTTGGGAGCGTCTGGGTGAGTTGGCTCTGCAACAGGGCAACATCAACATCCTCGAGATGGCCTACCAGAGAACCAAAAACTTTTCTAAACTTACATTTCTCTACCTTATCACGGGTAATCTGGAGAAACTGCGTAAAATGATGAAAATAGCGGAGGTGCGGCGTGATTTGGGGAAGCAGTACCAGATCGCTCTATTATTGGGCGATGTAGCCGAGCGTGTAAAGGTGCTGAAGAACTGCAATCGAGGCTCTCTGGCTCTCCTCACTGCTTGTACGCATGGCCTAACGCAGGAATCGGAGAAGCTTGCAGAGAACGGAGAATCAGCGCCTCCAGCGAACCCCTCGGCCAAGCTGCTGGTCCCGTCCCCACCAGCATCAGCACCAGAGGTGGCAGAGGAGAACTGGCCCACTCTGAGTGTGCATAAGGACTTCTTCGAAGTGGCTATCGGAAAGGCGGGTCTGGAGGATACCGAAACGGTGTCCGGGCCAAGGATCCAATTGCCCAAGGTTGATAAGGCTTCCATCAACATGGATCCTAACGAAGTGGCCAACTGGGGCGAGGATGCCGATTTGGCGTTGGAGGAGGAAGGCGAAGGCAAGCTCACCAGAGGCGGTTTCGGTGATGAGGAGGAGGATCCAAACGACGATCTGGGTGGTAATGAAGAAAGTCAATTGATTTTTTTCCCACTCAGCTATTTCTGTCATTTCGATCGGATGGCTAAAGTTACATCGCTTTGTCTTTGCTTCCGCAGGTGGCTGGGACGTGGAACAGGACCTGGATCTTCCACCTGAAGTCCTCGGCACCGCGGGAGGTGAGAACTCGGAGAAAGCATCGCTGGAAACTTTCATTGAGCCTACACCGGGTCGCTCACCCGACTCTTACTGGGTTGACAACTCCCCACTTGCTGTTGATCACGTTCTTGCTGGTAGGTTTCGCTTCGTTTTTTTGCACTTTCATCCGAAGATGCTCTGTTTAACTAACGTTTTGTCGGTATTATTTGATTCTTCTTCGAGCATTTAACCGTCTGCCATCGGACTTATCTGTCATGAGTTAATGGGTTTTATTTTGTCAAAAATCGTCCAAAATAAGTACAACGAATATTTGGACGTAGTCAAAAACCAGCTTAGTTATCTTGTTTGCGGTGCTTCTACTCACCTCTGCCATTGATAACCGGCGGTATTTGTGAATCATATGCACATTGCGAGAAAGTCTACAGCGTTAGAGTTAACAGGCAGGGTGATAGACTAAACCCTCTCCATGTTATGGTTCTTTGTGTTTTCGAGTTATTTGACTCAATTTGGTACAACCTTGGTTTCCAATTCGCTTTCAAGAGACCCAATTAGCGCCCAACCGCGGTGTTAACTTACGGCGCAGCTGCTGCCCTCGGACGGGTGGGTGGGTACGTGGGCGCACCGACTGTGTGCACACGATGTCTCGCGCACCTTTGCGCCGCTTTTTTTCCACACCTGTGGTGTCAATGTGTACTGGGCGTGTGCCTGAACCCAGGCTCTGGACACCGGGCCTTTAACAAACCTTTTGCGGTTATCTTGACGACATTTCTGAGGAAAGCCTCTAAAGTCAATGTTGGAGGTTCTTCGTGGAAAATCACTTACCTCTTTGCCCTTGCAAGCGTGTAAAGTGAAGGTATTACTTTTCGGTCTTGGTAGTTGATGCCGTCTTATACTAATTCCGTTCTATAGAATGCATCATGAAGATTGGAATACCTGTGACCTCTTAGCTTACCTGGACTTTTCATGCCCTCGAATCTGCGACCTTAAAATTTGCTTACAACGTCCTCATAAATCGCTTCTAACTCACGTGACCAAACAAGTCTTTATGACTTTTCTGTTTGTCACCTGAAGAGTCACTACTTCAAACTCTTCATAAAATCTTGCAACTCTTCTGCCCTATGTTTTCGGCCTGTTACATTTATTGGCTTATTAAAAATAAAACCGAAAATAATATACTAAAGAGTGATTTTATGAAGTCCACTTTGCCCTCTCTCAAGGAAATCTTCTCTGACGTCTGCTGAGGTTTTATAGACTGGAAATCACCCTCTGAACTTGGACTCTTGGCCTAAATGCTAACATTTCTGCATCGTCTGGGTGACCAACATGCTCAAATTTTTTAATTTCCGTCATTTTTATTGTGAGTTTCTGCACCCAAAAGATGTGCAACCGGTTGGCCATTTTGAAAGAATTCACGATATTGATGCAAGCACACGCAACAACGGCCATCGAAGAAAGTGTCACTGTTGCTCCAATTTTTGAATGGCCGGTGTGATCCTTTCGGCTGCATCTAACCCTAAATTTGCGCTCTGCTGACCATATTGATGGTGGTTTGTTACAATTGTTTGAATATTTGGGAAATACAGTACTCAGACTTTTCAAAGTCTTCGCAACATGGAAATTAATTTTTTTTTTAGGAAATTTGTCAGCTAGCTCGTACTTAAATAGTTTATTTGAGCTGTTTTTTGTACTTTTTAGTTGATTTGACGATGCATTAATTGCAATTATAATTTATTCTCCGGCTTTCGCCGGACTGGTCATCGCGCTTCCATTGTAGTAAGCTTTAATGCCAACTCTTCGATGAGAACTTATAAGATGAATAGTTACTGAATTTTATCAGTTTCCTCACTAGTGTCAAGTTATTTTTCGTAAAGTATTTAGAATGCAGCTGGAATTCTGAGGTGGCATCGTTCACGTTATCGCCGAAGATGTGACGATCAATTCGAGGCTAAAGTTAGCCTTGTTAAAGAGAGCAGAGAAGAGTTGGGAGGTTGTCATAATAAATAACATGAGTACAGCTTCGTGTCACCATCGGGAAAGTCGAATTACTGATGGGTTAAGATTTCGTACATTTTGAAATACCACCAAAACAATTGCCGTTTTGATATACATGAGTACTTTTTAAGTGTTGATGCTCTACAGGCTCCTATGCACAGGCGATGCGTCTACTGAACCAGCAGGTGGGTGTGGTGGACCTCAAGCCGTACGCCTCCATCTTCCACGCCCTCTATGCGGCCTCGCGAATGGTACTCCCGGGGCTAGCGCATAGTCCATCGTTGCGCATCTATGCCCACCGTACCCGCGGGGCACTGGCCGCGGCACTTCCCGCGGTGCCGCTACGTTTGGAGCACCTGATCTCTCGCCTGCAGACCGCTTACCAGCTGACCACGAAGGCCAAGTTCGCTGACGCTGTCGAGCGCTTTCGCTCTATCATGCTCTCCGTACCCCTCCTCCTAGTGGAGAACAACACTGAGGAGGCCGAGGCTAAGAGCCTCATAAACATTTGCAAGGAGTACATAATCGGTCTCCAAATGGAGATGACTCGCAAGACCCTGCCGAAGGAATCCGATAAGGTGATCAATTGTTGTTTTACATTGAATAAATTCGGCATCGCTCTCCTCGCATGACTTTGGTTCAGCCATGTTATGCCTTCCGTCTTGTTTTGAAGTGTCGTGCAGAAGTGTCTCAAGCTGGTATCGTGAATGTCAGTTAGAGCTGTGCATGTTTGTGGTGAACTGAATTGCCACATAATGATTTTGACTCGATTTTGCTCGTTATTTCAATTTCCCGTCTACAAATGAAAGTGTTTGGCACCCAAGTATGCTTCAGATCGTTTTTTTTACAATGCCCTTTTTGAAAATACTCTTACAAGACGCTGCCTGCGGTTTCTGGCAGTGTTATTGATTTTCGATTAGGTATGATGTGTTTATGATTTCTACTTTGCTACATGTTTTAAGCGGCAAGGTGTATAGGTCCAAAAAAATACCTGTTATGGCGGTGAGAGATGGGACGCTTAAAATACGTGACCAGAATTACTGTGTACTGACTTAACTCAAACGTCTTGCCTTTTTAACATTCTTTGGGTGAGATTTAATGTTTGTGGCACAGTAGTAATGCAAGCTATGGTAAAAACCGCACCCGGGTGCACACGACAAGTAGATGAACTGTGAACAAGTTTCTTTTCCTTGTGTTCACTTAGGAAGTTTTGTGCAATTTCTGTTGTGTGTTTTTTCTCAATGATTGTTAATAGTGTCGTTAGAGTGAATTGGAGAATCGGCAGCTCTATGGCCTCTATAGGAATTGTCTATGCCTCGGAATGTGCAATTGGATATCTGAATTACGCAGATCGACTGTTCGCGAGATCGAAAGTGCTTGGGATTGCAGTGCCTTTCTGCAGTATTTCGACTGCAGTACCGTTAGCTAATTCGTCTAACTCTCGATTATCTTCCAATTCCGTCTGATATTTTACCTCGTTCTTGCTAGAACGCTCAGTGCATTGGCTTTGGTGAAATAGTTACAGGCCTTAGATTTCTTGTGGAGCACTGCTACTATGGTACCTCGAAGTTAGGTTACCTTGGGGATTAATTTCTAGTAATACCCCCTCCAAGCTTAGCAAGTCTCTGCCCCCGTAGTAACGATCATCTAATTGAATCAGCACCACCATTCCACGTGTGTGTGTGTGTGTTGAATGGGTCAATTAAATCACCCACTAATGCGCTTCGACATCTACCTGAGTTTAAGTGGCTGTGTATTGCCATAACAACTTTTATTAAACCAATTTAGGAGGGCCTATGTTGTACCACTTTTTGAATTCCCCTTGCGAATCCCACTTAACCCTGACCAAGAAGACTGTTTATTGGACTGCTGTAGATCAAAATTCTTGTAAACCTTGCTTTTTTTCTGGTACATAAAGAATCAAGAACTTGAGATTTTGGTCAGATGCTGGAAATTTCTTGAAGGAATGACGTGACTTCATCTTTGTGTCTGAATCACCTGATAACGAAGTTTACTTTCTCAGGTATCCAAGCCTGCAATCTGCTAGCAAGATAATTTTTATGTATCTCTTTATCTGTAAATCTTCTGTTCTTCAAGATGTTTTAATGCGGAATCGTTTCCACTTTTCCTACAAGAAGCGGTTCGCCAAGAGTTCTCTATAAACCCCACACTCAATGCTTAATCGTTTATTCAACTGCGTTAGATTGGCCTCATTAATTTCGAATGATGACGGTGAGGCTTTTAAAATTATTGTAATTGGTACAAAGCACTTGCTCAGAATTCAGTTTTCCCTAGGTCTTTTAATAAAGTCTGCCTTTTTTATATGTACCCTGTAGGACAGAGTTCGTAATGTTGAACTGGCCTGTTACTTCACGCACATGAAGTTGGAACTGCCCCACCTAGTGCTGACCCTGCGCACAGCGGTGAACCTGCTGTTCAAGCTGAAGAATTTGCGCACCGCGGCGCTGATGGCACGTCGTCTGTTGGACCTGGCACCCTCACCGGAGGTGGCGGAGCAGACGCGCAAGATCCTGCGAGTCTGCGACGCCAACCCTGTGGACGCCTTCGAGTTGGCCTATGATCCACGCAACCCCTTCGAGGTCTGCCCCGCTTCTTTCACGCCCATCTACCGTGGTGGGGAGTGCGTGCGTGAGCCCCTCTCCGGCGCTGCCTATCAACCCGAATTCAAGGGCCAATTGTGCCGTGTCACCAAAACCACCGAGATTGGAATGGCCGCCCGTGGCATGTGTCTCCAGATGCCTAAGTCACACTGATCTTATCCTCTCCTTTACATCCTTCTATTTCCACCTACCTTCACCCTCTAACTCCATTTCAGCCTACCCCTCGTGTTTTTCTACCTGCCGAGAGGTCTTCGTTTTCTGCTGTCCTTGTCAAAGCGATTTAAAAAGTGTTTCCTGATAAGAAAATGCGTGTGATGTCTTTTACTTGAGTTTGCCGAAGTTATGCAAACTTTCTACCACAGCTAACCCATTAATCGACGCCATAGGTTGCGTTGATATAACGAATGGTACACTGCGATGCACACGCTTTTTTACAATGGTGAACATGTTTGTGTTTAATAGAGGTATTAAAAATAGCATTTTTGCAAAATCCTGTGTAACGACCCTAACTATCTAAAGTCCACGACTGGAATTTTCGCGCTTACGCTGCTACCACCACGAATGTTGGATATTTTTAGCAGTTTGTGATAGCTAACTGCACCGAATTGTACTGAGGACAGATTAGCTTACTTTAGATCAGACAACTGGACGTAGGATTGCAGTTTTTTAGCAAACGTATGAATGGAACTTTTCTTCTTTAGGTC